ACTTGACGTGGATCTTAAATATATAAGCAATTAAACAACATCTTACATTTCTTTTCACACAATACGTCTCCTTGCAGTATCAACACTAATTCGGCTGACTTTTATATTTGATCCAATTGGTAGATATGCTGTATTTACGCCATAACGGTGCACAGCTGATAGAAATGGACACCTACTGGTTAAAGCACGTTATTGCATTTTATAATTTTATTATAAATATATATTATTATATGAGGCATGGCTAGAATGGGTGATCTGTTTGGTATTTTGAGCAAAACACTTCATAGACATGTTTTTTTATATATTTGTATATATCTGAGACCTATGCTATTGCCTAAAAATAGCATGATAGGTGCACTTTAAATAATTGCAGGATTTAGACATTATCTGAAGCGAAACCACTGACTCCCACTAGATCATTTTACTCATTATTTCTCTCCCTAATGAAGTCTGTGGCTTGTGCCAAAAAGTTGATTCAGAACTCAAACATGTGTTTTGCTTGCTGTTACTTGATGATTTATGTGCAGAGTAAGATAGCTGTTGCTCTATTCTAAATGTAAAACATTTTTTGAGACATCACAACTGTAAGGAAGTCGTGGATACATTTGTACAAATTAAATGTCGAAACATAAAACCTCCAGCACACCTATACTGAGAAGGGACTCACTGAAGGAGACATATTGTAGAACGGACTAGACTCAGAGAACATATTTTAACCATCAGTTACACGAATGTATCATGTGGCTTTCTTAAGTGACACTTTTCTTTTTGTACCGAGCCACATGAGCTCAATTTTTGCTTGAGCAAAGCAGCAGCAAACACGACACCTTGCTATGAATGTGAATTGTGAAGGATTGTTTGCAGCCGTCAGATGCAGCATTAGTTCAGGTTTTGTCAAATTAAAATATCTCTGAAATAGAAAAAGTCCACAGATTTTGGCAAAATCAGGCAGGTAGAAAAATGTCCAAGCATCAAAAATATCGTGTAAGGAAGTAGAATCCTCTTTTGGAAAACCAGTGTCATTTTTAGCACAAAGGAAGAGAGACATGACATGCATCAATCCCCTTAGTTTTGTGAAAATCTTCGAAGATGTTGTGCATGACAGGCGGGCAGACAGACTGGGGGCTGGGGCCAGTCCTTTGTGCTTCTCAGATTTCATTTTGCAGGACAAAAAAACCTTGACTTGTGAAGCTGAGAGTAAGCGCTTCTCGTTTTGTGTATGTGGCCCTATTGTGTCGGGCATTCACATTGGGAACAGAGTGGGACTGCAGGGGATAAAGAGAGGCTCCTGAGGTGAGCACTTCATCGCCTAGAAACCAGTGCTGTCTGACAGTGTGAATAATATTGTCATTCCTACTTTCAAGGTTTCAAGTTGATTCTTCACTTTTCTCACAGCCAATTCACTCATTTGATTTGATTTTTTTTGTTCACGTCCTGTCATTTGTACTCTTTTTTGATTGTATTCAAAGGCTATTTAAAGTACTGGAAAATGAGATATATTATATTCCACAGTGTGTGCCTTTCTTAAGTAGGAAGTAGATTGAAAAGGAAAGACACATAATACAACATGAGTCTTTAGAGAATAGGTTTTATAGTGTCATAACCCTAACTCAACAAATAGTAAGAGACCGTCCTCCGTTTCTTGAGTGTTTTTCTCCCCCTTGTACCCACCCCCTCCCCCCCTCTGTTCAGTAACAGGTTGTGTTTAGTTTCTCTGCTCCCTACTTCCTCGTCTGGCATGTCTGTTCTTTCAGTCCAGAGTCTAAAGTTCAGCCAGAGACAACAGGAAGGGAGCATCACATCGTTCACTCGTAGAATTTCACAACGCACACACATTTGTTTTTCATTTTTTACTTTGACAAACACAGTCTTCCTTTGCTGAATACTCGCCCCCTCGAATTTTGTAGTGTGTGACTAAATGATGAATGGTGTTACAATAATTTGATGAGATTGGGTCAGATGATGCAAGGAGGAAGTGGATAATGATAATGCTCTTGATGATGTCTTACAGCTTATTATGCCGTTCCACAAATGATGCCCCCAGACACCCACACCGTCTTTGAACTACTCCCACCCGTGGGTGACGCATTAGCAACCTATGTGGAGTGGATGTAGCCCTGAGAAAAAGGTACTTGTGTCTCTGGTGTTGAATAAGCCCACCACTATGAAGCTGGGAGTCTGAGTTGAGCATCTGACCCCCCTCAGATCCCTCCCTTCCCGCGCCTGATCCCTCCCCCATGTCCCTCAGACCATCTCCCATCATCCTCTCTCATTCTTCCTCCTCTTTATACCCTCCTCAACAGATTTCTGTAGCTTCCTCCCCTCTCTTTTCCGTCCACACTCCTCCCTCGGAGCGCCTGCTTGCGCTCCACTCTGCCTGCCTTCCTTCAACACATGCCAGGACTCCAGGGGCAGGAGTTACACAGCGAGGATTTCATTTGAAAGAGCTCCTCAGGACGTCATTATAAGGATCATCACCGGGCCTCACGGCTGATGTTACATTAGTGTTCCATCACACACACACACTGAGCCTTTAAAGTGCCTATTAACTAGCCAACCCTCTCATCACGCAAATCTGAATCTTTCTCTGAGATTGGTAATGTCATATTAATCTGCAATTGACTGTTCCTATCTATCAATCCAATCAAGAGCGTGAGATGAGAAACCATATGTCTGTCATTTGAAGTGTCTGTGGTTTTTATGCAATTGTAAAACATTTTGTAGATTAGAAAAACTGATTGCTTGGAACAACTGGTAATTGGACGTGTCAGATTTGGCAGAAACTGACAGTTGAGGAAGTTTGATGGTGTTCTACAAATAAAACAGCATGTTGCATTGGCTTCAATTGAAGCAACACATAGGCTTGATCTTATCATACAGCTCCAGATGCATGCCACCTCCTGTTTTTCAGCAAAATGTATTTTTTTAGCTTTGTCACTATACATTCATCCTTTTTGCTGAATGATTAAGGGTTAACTCCTGTTTTGCAATGTGTTCCTTATTTCGAGAAAGAAAATATTGAGTCCCACCCACCTTGTTATCAAGTCATTTGTACTCTGTACCAGTGCTTATAGGTTTTGTACTAGGTGTCATGGAAACAAACAAAAAAAGCTTTTTTGGAGACTATGAGGATAGAAATTGTTGAACAAATACCTTATTTCAAATACAACTAGGGGTAGTGCTGATTTCACATCCACTTGTATCAGCTATGATGTAGTTTTTCCAAAATTAAAAAATGATGATATCTTAAACCAATGAAAATCAGAAATCTCCAGGCACACTCTTTAGCAACATTTAAAAAAATGCCTTAAAAGCAATATTTGACCAGCCTTCTCCAGCTGATTATCCCTTATCTCCATTTTTCAGTTTATTCATTTAAATAACCTAGCCCCTCTTCACATTGGACACCTATAGCCACTCCAAACCAGGCAGTGACTAAATATACCTCTTATTACACCAGCTTGCAATCCCCCAACCACCCCTCTATCCTGCCTATCCAACCTTATTAATCTCGTCTCCACCCAACAATTGTATCTTCCATTCATTGCAAACATAAGACACAGTATCTGAAGTGAAACAGAATGAATATTAAGTGGGTAGCAGTTGGACCAGGCTCACAGTACTACTGTAAATAGTATCCCCCCCCTCTCTCTATGGCTCTCTCAATCATGCTTCTCCAGCTCCACGATAAAGCACCATGTAGAGTGGTATGAGCTCCATCAGCCATGCAGATGAGTCCTGCTTCTTTTACCTTAATTAGAGCTCCCAGGGGACTGGCTGTGGGCGCGAGCAGCATCAGCCTCTCATTCCACAGAGATACCTTTCATCAAGCCCGAGAACACAAGTAGGAAAACTGACATGCGTACAATGGCTCAGGCACTGCACAGAAGAGATTTTAAAAGCAGTCATTAATGGGAAATGTTCCAGCATGATATTCAAGGCTGGTCATTTTAACAGCAGGGAGAAATTTGACATTTTACAGAAACTGAAATCTAACCAGTAGAATATAAAAGCTCTATTGTTCACACAAACGTATACGGACTGTGAGAAATGAGGAGTTCAGTCAGGCAGAGCTGAAACCATTAGTCAATTCATTGATATTTTGAAGCAAAAATTCCCCAAATTGCATGCAGTTTCTAAAATGTGGTAATTGGCTGCTTTTCATGGATTTCTATAAACATTGAATTTTGTAATTTGTTTGAACAAAACAAGCAAATTGATGCTATACAGCATGTACTATTTCCTGATGAGAAGCAAAGGTTTAATCAAATATTCAAGAAAATAACTGATATTGATGATCAATTAAATATTTAGTTGATCAATAATAAAAATAAGAAGTAGGTTTACAGCATAATGTCACATTTGTTGTAGACCTACTGTATATTGTTATGATACATTTTGTTTTTATTACAAATTTCACAAATATCAATATCTTCTAAATAATTGTAAAGTATTTTATCCAAAATACATGTTCAGATGACAATTAGAAGACTTTTGTCATTTTTGTTTGAACAATTAATTAATAATTAATAATCATTTTCTGATCCATCTACCAATAGTTTATTGGAAATGTTTTTGCTGAAAGTCAATTAAAATATTGTTTTAAACCATTTGAAAACTATCAGAACATTCTGTTAAGTTAAGTTATACACTGAAAAAGAAAAAAGTTAAAAATAAAGTAATTATAAACTGTCCCCTCTTACGGCACACCTTCCTGCCCGTCCCCTTTAAACAGGGAGGTGCTCCGGTGCTCTCCCCCAGCCCGGTGCTCGCCGCTGCGCTCCGGGAGGGGAGAGAGGGAGAGTGGGCTGGCTGAGAGCGGACGCGTCGGAAACCTCCCTGGAGGGGCCCCGTGTAATTCGATGCATGCTGTTAAAGCTTAGAGTATATTGTCTTCCCTTTGCTTATGAAGCCTCCACCCACCGGCCCACCCTACATTTAGCGGATCATGTGACTCGGGGTAAGTCATTTGCAAGTACAACAGTTCTCTGTGCGCTCCCATTCATTTCCTGAGAACTGCCTGAGCTGAGCAGCTGAGAGGCAGAAGGGGAGGGAGCTGCTCACTCACACACTCTCACACACACATTGTCACACACACACGTACATACACGCAGAGTGAGAGGAGAGAAGAGGAGAGGGAGAGGAGGATAGGAGACAGAGAGGATTGTAGAAAAGGAAAACAGTCTCCACGGCTCTGCAGCTTCTGACAAGGTCTGTGCATTTTTTCGTCCTGTTCCTCTGCTGGCTGCTGCTGTGTGCTTCATTTGTCACGTTGCTGGGCTTTGTGCTTGTGTTCAGTACGTGTCGTTCAGCTGTCATTTCCCTGTCACAGCAGATGACAGCTCAGATCACCTATGGCATTGTGTTTGGTGTCTGTCAGTGGGGAAAAACAAGAGACCCTGCATGGTGCTGACTGGACCTGAAACACTTATTCCCAATGTAAAATCATCAGCTGTCATAACAAAAAAAGAGGGGAAAAAAGTGATTGTACACTGAGTGACCATGGGCATTATCAGCATCCTGACTTCAGCTGCATGCAGTTGTCCTATTTATCACTTATTTACCTCTGAAATAACTTATCAGCAGAGCAGAGTAGCAGCATTGTAGAGAAATACTGCCTGCCTTGGTGTAAGTGTGAAAGTGAGACCAAAGCACCAAACTCTCTCTCAGCACTTCTCACTAGAAAAACAAAGTTTGCTGCTTGTCAGAGTTTTGCGCATGCCTTTAGAGAGTTGTGCATGTGTGGGTGTTGCATTTGTGTGAAGCATTGTGGTGTGTGTTTGTGTGTGTGTGTGTGTGTGTGAGAGAGAGAGGGAGGCTTGTTTGCCTACTTGCCCACTGTGGCCGCTTAGAGACAGAGAAACGAGACTGTTAGCAACGGGTTAAACATTAGGAGGCTCGGGTAGCGGAGGAAGGACACTGGGGGGGAGGTGTGTGTATGTGTGTGTGTGTCTGTGTGTGTGTGTCTGTGGGGGAGTGTTGCAGGGGTGGTGTCTTGGATGTCATCGGCAGCGCTCTCACTTCCAGGGTAATAGTCATTGGTATTGATGGGTGGCTGTCAGAGAGGCAGAGAGCCACCAGGTTGGGGAGAGTGGCCGGGGGCTGGCCCTTGGCTGTTATTTTCAATTACAGGGGACCAGGGCAGAGCTGACAGCAAAGGCATTTGTACATCCAACAAGGGGGAGGAGGAGGAGGAGTGTGTGTGTGTGTGTGTGTGTGGAGGGGAGGGCGGGGGCCCGGAGGGAGGAGGAGGGAGGGAGAAAGGTGGGAGGGAGATGAGACTCTGGCCTCTGCTCCTGGGTTTGATGTGGAAACTGAGCGCTGACCTCTGTGACTTTACCCCCGCGTTGCAGAGAGGCCCTGTCTTGCCTTTAACTGTGTGACAGCCGTAGGGTGTGTGTATGTGTGCGTTTTAAGTGGGGGTCTCATCAACAACCAAAAAAAGGCAAAAGGGAGGAGGGCTGGGTCATGTATGTGTTGAGCAGACCCCCTGCAGCTCACGGATGTTCAGAGTGAGATTAGTGCCCATTTAAACTCTCACTTAAATCCATTTACAAAAGAGGTCTTCTCCCTGCGCATGAATAAGCAGGCTGATATTACCACACATGCAGAAGAGACTCTACGCTGTCAGTGAGCAGCGAAGAAGATTCATATTGGATCTCTGAAAGGTGCCATTACCTGAAATTAATGTCATTCTGCATTGTATTGTTATCACGATATAAATCAATGCTGAAGAATACACTTCAGTCTTACTTCTGCAACATTGACCAACATGTCGAGGTGTCACAGCACTAGATAGTGTAGCTGCCATTAGTGGTGTTTAGAACACGTACGGACAAATCCTTAACACTGAATCTTCAAACTGAACTGACTTTAATGGATCTTTATTGTCACTTAACGATTCAGTGGCTCTCCGCAGAGGACCTTCTCTCACTGCTCACTGAAAGCATTGTTTAGATCAGTCGTGGTATAAAGTACATTTAAAGTATATTGAAAGACCACGAAAGCCACAGAAACCGTCTTTATGTGGTAACTCACAAATAGTTTGCTTCTGAGCTGTTGACCTTAGAAAGTGTTTGTTCTGACTGGATGTACTCAGCTGATGACAGTCAACTGTTCACTTTTTGAAGATGTGGATATCGAGTTTTGTTTAAAAATAACGTCATTGGCTAGGTTAGAAAAAATAAGTGAATGAAAAACAGTAAATCTTTGAATTAAGTGATTTGAAGTAGCGTGCTTTGTCATTTATAGCTGTCATCCTCTTACAGCATTTTTTAAAGAGTTGAAAAAAGCTTTTCAAATGTTTGAATTGGCATATTCTGTTTGAATGTCTTTCACTTTATGTCATGATAAGTCAAATTGGTCAGTAATTCAAAACAGTCTTCCAAAATAATGAACAAAAAAGTGTGTTGTCCATGCACTCAACAAAACAAACTGTATCCATGTGTTGCATATGTTTATCCCACGCCCCAATCAGCAGACAATATCAAGACATGCTTAACACTGGTGAATATTCAGTGGGATTTTCGCACAAAAATGACGAAAAGAATGTGAGGAGAAGATCATAGTCTGGGTTAAAATCACTACACAAGAACATGCACAACTGATATGATTATGAATGATATAGAAAATCATATGGTTTTCATCATGAACAATATAAAGCAGTACCAAGTAGTTTCCCCCCGTCAGCATCAAGCTGCTATACCGTCTCTCTCATTCCGTCAATGGCTCAACTCCCCACCCCCGACACGGTCCAAGGGCTTATGATAGAGATCAGTGCAGGTGGGGGGACTCAATTAAAAAGCCAATCACCAACAGATAGACTACATCCGTCCATCAACACTACTCTGCCCAGCCCATTTAATTGCGCTGCAGGATTCCCCCACCAAAGGCATCATCTGTCTGCTACACATCACAACACACAAATTGGGCACGCGTTGACAGATTGAATCTTTCAAGCAGAAGCGCTGCGCTGTAGTATGTGCAATCTAACAACATACAGGCTCACTGTCTTATTCAGGGAGATGTGAAACTCCCTGTATTACCCCTAATCAGCCGGGTTAACTGCTGCCATATTGACGGACTGCTGGATCATTGATCCAGGTGGGTGTTACGGAGTGTATCGTCATTGATTGCAGATAGACCGCAGTGCACTGGATTCATTTGGGTCTCTGACTGTAAGCCGAAGCCAAAGAGGAGTGAGTTGGGTTTTATTGGTCGGTTGTGCTCAAGGTGCATTGTGGGATATCCTGTGGCCTCTGGTCAGGGAGTTGGTGTTGCGTCAAACACAGATTTTCAGCCACAGGAGACTATTATATAGGCAAAGACCCTGAAACACATGCACAATGACACACACTGCAATGCTCTTACAATAGACTAGCATGTCAAGGACATGCGTATACAATGTGTGAGACAGACGGCACCCAAATAGACGGGTGACTTTGTATATTGATAGATGTACCTGAGCAAAAGTCATAAGGAGAAAAAGGTTATAGACCGAGATGGTTAAACAGCTTAACAATTTTGCAGTTATTGTGCTGGTAATCCATTCTGTTAGCGTTTGTAGTGACGTTGCGTGAAATAAGACAAATATTAATAGGCGATGGCTGTGAGCTGAACTCCCCAAGGCTGTTATTGCACCATGTCAGAAGATGACAAAATGTTCTCTCCCTTTGCGATTTCTCATGTGGATTCAACCTTTGACCCCAGTGTCCAGCCCACGTTTGTTTACCAAAATTGAGTTAAGGGTGTACATGGAGTGCTAGAGCATGTGTGTTTTGTGACTGTGCACGAGAGAGAGGGAGAGAGAGAGAAGAGCACGGAAAGTATTGTGCAACTGCCAGTGCGTCTGAAGCTTATCGTCACACAGACAGAACGAAAAACAATTGGAAAATGCGTGATTACAGCTCGTCAAACATCACGGTGAGTATTTTACATTTTGCTGCGTTGCTCTGGGGAATTCTTTTAAGAGCCTATTATTGTTTTAACCTCTCTAGAGCACCCAAGCTTATCTTTTGATATAAAGAAAAGTTGCCAACAAACCGAGGCAGAATTTAAGGTGATGCTGCCTGACAAGCGCAATGATCCACGTTTTTCTTTTTTCTTGTAATGACACTATCTCTAGGGGTAGCACACTCAGTGCTTACTGGAAATGACTCATTTAGTCTAGCATTCCCCCTCCGACTCAGATTTTAAGGTTGCTCGACATGTTTCCATGGCTAGGATGGAAAGGCATGTCAATGGAAGGCCTGTCTATCTATGTTGATGTTTCCCCTGTCGGACAAGTGTGTATTTTACTTTGGCCAAATATGGTTGGTGATCAGGGGGAAGGAGAAAAGGAAGGGAGCCAAGAAAAGAGGATGGAAGAGTGTTCAAAGTCAGCACTTTGTGATTTGGACCCTTTTTTAGCTGGTTTTTAAGAGTTTCCCTTTACAGAACCTTTGGGGAGCTGCTTCTCTCAAGCCTCGGTGCAGATGGTTTCAGCAGACCTGCGTTCGGATGCTGCAGGGATCACTGTGAACTTTGTTTTCAGTTGTACTGTAGGTCAAGGAAATTATGCAAACAACATGTGGAATCGATTTGGGGTGCCTGTGGCATTCCACAGGATCTTTGGCTTTAACTCAAACAAATGTAGGTTCAAGCTCTGGACCATAACTCCTCTTAATTAGTGGCTTCAACCAGGTATCAGCACGGCACCGCATCAGTTGGAAAATAGAGGAAAAATGATCGAAGCGAAGGCGTGAGTAGATGAGTAATAGAGGTAAACACAGCTGCTGGCTTTTATTGAGTAGTGTTGGAGAGCTGAAATGGGTCAAACCAAGGGGAAAAACTCGGTGAGCGAAAATAACTGCGCGCACATTTGAAGTAATAAGTGTCAGTGTGTTGGAATGTTTTGGTTGGTCCGTTATTTTCTGTTTCCATTTGGCATACATTAGGGTGGATTTGGCTGTGTCAGCACAAAGTGAGGTTAGATAGGGTATAGCACTCCGTGATGCTGCATCAAGAGGACACTGCAAGACTATTTGTGTGTGTGTGTGTGTGTGTGTGTGTGTGTGTGTGTGTGTGTGTGTGTGTGTGTGTGTGTGTGTGTGTGTGTGTGTGGTGTGTGTGTGTGTGTGTGTGTGTGTGTGTGTGTGTGTGTGTGTGTGTGTGTGTGTGTGTGTGTGTGTGTGTGTGTGTGTGTGTGTGTGTGTGTGTGTGTGTGTGTGTGT